GCGTCGCCTGAGATCACGGCACTCGGCAGGGCCGTGGTCTTGCAGCTGGCGCTGCTGAGAACAGGCCTGCATCGTCGCCGTGCAAGAGTGTGCAAAAAAAAAATATATATATATATATATCTATATTTATATACCACCGTAGACCCCAAACAGCTTGTGTTTTTCAAAATCGGCACACTCTGCAACTAGAGCTTGCGACGTCCAGAGCTGGGAGACAAAGAACTGCAAGGCAGAGTCCAGAGCTGGGAGACAAATGTAGACACAGGGAGACAAATGTAAAGGATTGCAAACGACATGCAGCGCAGAGCTGGGTGACAAATAAAGGATTGCAAGGCAGAGGCGGATACAGCAGTCTAGAGCTGGCAGACAAATGCAAAGGCTTGCGAGGACACATGTAAAGGATTGCAAGGCAGAGGCGGACACAGCAGTCAGAGCTGGGAGACAAATGTAAACGATTGCAAGCGACACGCAGCCCAGAGCTGGGAGACAAATGTAAAGGATTGCAGGGCAGAGCAGCTGGGAGACAAATGTGAAGGGTTGCAAGCGAGAGGGGGAGAGAAGAGGCATATGTAAAGGAAAGAAGGAAGACAAGGCGGACACAACGACCAACAAGAAGGGGGACAACAAGGGAGACAAGAAGGGAGACAAAAGGAAACAGAAGGGAGAGGAGACAAGGCGGACACAGTGACCAACAAGAAGGGGGACACAGTGACCAACAAGAAGGGACACCAAGAGAGACAAGCCAGACGGAAGGCGGACACGCTGTCCGGCAGCAAGGCGGACACTCTTAGAAAGCGTTTAGAACCCCTAACAGTAACCTGTTTGGGAAGTACAGAAATCTCCTGGAGACAAATGAATAGAAATGCTGGAAAGGGGAAAAGGGCGGATGCCAGCAGTGCAGGCACTGAACCTGGAAAACAAAAGTAAGGAATTCACTTTAAAGACAAACGAATTAAAATGCTGCATGGCCAGCAGAAATGGGCGGACACCAGCAGTGACAGAAAGGGCGGACACATCTTAAGAAAGAAGTGACAAACCCTACGTAACGGCAAACTGTTTGGGGAATGAATAGAAATGTTGCATCGCAGCAGTGACACACCTCGGAGACAAATGAACAGAAATGCTACATGGGCCAGCGGAAAAGGGTGGACACCAGCAGTGACAGACCTGGGAGACAAATGAATAGAAATGCTACATGGCAAGGGCCGGACACCACCAATGACAGCGGACACCAGCAGCGACAAACCTCGAAAAACCAATGCATAGAAATGCTACATGGCCAACGGAAAAGGGCGGACACCAGCAGTGACAGACCATGAATAGAAATGCTACATGGCCAGCGGAAAAGGGCGGACACCAGCAGTGACAGACCTGCGAATCAAATGAATAGAAACGCTACATGGCCAGCGGAAAAGGGCGGACACGAGCATTGACAGACCTGGGAGACAAATGAATAGAAATGCTACATGGCCAGCGGAAAAGGGCGGACACCACCAGTGACAGACCTGGGAGACAAATGAATAGTAATGTTGCATCGCCAGCGGAAAGAGGCGGACACCAGCAGTGACGCAAAGGGCGGACACATCTTAAGAAAGAATTGAGAACCCCTAACAGTAAACTGTTTGGGGAATGATCAATATGTCCCACCTCCTCCAGTTGCTCCAAAGCTTGTTGTACTTCACGCCTAGGCTTGACACAGTACAACAAAAGTCTTTGGAGAATCTGCAACTTCTGAGATCAACATCTCAAGGAAATCAAACACAACAATGCACCAATGTTGCACCTTTGCATCAACGTGCAATTTTGTCTATGCGCTTGGCTCACGCGTCAGTGACTGAGTAGCATCGGCAGTCTGCCGCAAAATTGGAGCACTTGGTCAAAAGCAACAAAACAATGCACGGCAAAAATGCTGTGGCTTCGTTCACATGCATTTCGTTATTCCTGACAGAAATCTTTCCACCTGCCATCGCGGGCCAAAGCCAAGCAATTTCTGCTGCCGACGAGCAGCCATGTCGCATAACAGGCAACGGGAAAATGTTGCGCGTGTGCATGCGGCTGTGTAGTGCTTGCAAGACTTAAGACTTGATTTCAAATGACGTGGCAACCGGAAACAGATTTATCTGTGTTGAGACTGCTTCACAATGCTTTTGATCATTCCAATGATAGGGATTTACCCCTCTGTGACCATGCAAGAGTCCATGACCCAAGTATCATAGGGGCCTTTTCTTCCGCAAGGAAGATCACATCTCGTCTCCACTGGACTTCTGAGCCAAGTACTTCAACAAATGAGACATGGGTGCATGAATGATTCATGCTTGTTCAGCTTGGCTTGACGGCTCAAGCACCACTGGGTTCAGTCTGTAGCTTTGGAAATGAGCCAGCCTCTTGAATTGGAGTTGACGGCCTAACCTGGCAGAACCGATGGTATTTCTATTGCAGCAATCTATGGTAACCGGTAGGTACCACTGGCCCGTCGACTTGCCTTCCTGCCATATGCGAAGCCCAGGATCACATCGGACGGTATCAAAGGCTGTCGGGCGAGATTGAGAAATACTGTAAATGCAAACAAATCCAATGTAACAAGCCAACATGTGCAATTAATTTCAAGCAAGCACCTTCCCCAAGTTCCGGCTGCGACCCTGACAATGTATGCAAAAGATTGGATATCATGAACTCACCATCACATTGAATCTGTGAATGTCCAACTAGTGAGGCTCTGGCAGATAGCCGGGGTGGGTCAGGAGCTTGTTGAAAGTAATGTCGCAGATCCTCTAGAGTCTGAATAGAGTACCATCTATTCCAAACTGTGTTCTGAATCATCGAGTGTGTGCTCTCAGACTGTGTCCTTGGCATTTGTAACTCTGTCGGCAGCGGCTTTCCTAGCGTTAATGACTGGGATGTTACCCTTGCCTTTGCGAGCGAGATGGTGCGTCCTGTTGACTGACATAAAGTCTGGCTCATCAGCCTGCACCAAAGAATCAACTAGAAACCTTCGACTCTGTTCCCATTCGGGCCTGCATTCGCTTGCTGCGGGTATGCCCAACCCACCTCATGGACACCTATGCAGGAAAAAGGAAACAGAAAACTGAAAAGGTGAAAACAGGAAAAAGTAGGGGTCTCAGGCCTTCGTTTTTTAAAATCCGTCCTTGTGAGACGAAGCTTGGACTTACAATGTCCGGCCTCTCGGGCACCTTCTGAGTCCTGGTTGCCAGGGCGGCCGTAGGAAAACTGATTGTCTGGCAGGTCGAAGCAAGTGGGTTTGGGCCTGAAGACTTCAAGAAGTAAACTCACGGCTCATATGCTGATGTTTCACCACAACTGTCATTTCAACCTGGCATAACTCAATGAATGACTCAGCGCAAGGCCGTCCCACCTGAGGTAGATACAGTGGGCACAAATGCCAGGGAGCAAGGGAGCACTAAAGCAATTATATATGCCGAATGCACTTATGAGATTCCCAGCTGGCCACAGACTGGAAAGTGCAAATATACGGTTTTCCCATTCCTGATGTCCATTCCTTGACTGTTTGGTTTACTGTTTTCCTTAGTAGTGTTATTCTTTGGGCTATTTTGATTGCTATGGTTTGTTGTGGGGTTATTCTTTGGGTTGTTTCAATTGTTAGTCATTGTCCTGGGGCTATTCTCTGGGCTGCTTTCATTGCTAAAATTCTGGCTGCTGTTTTTCTGCTTTTATTTGCTGGGTCGGTTTCCTTGTCTGGCTCAAGCTAGGCAATTAAAATTGGTTTAGTCAAGGCCTAAAATGCAAGGGAGCAAAGTTATCATTGCTCACCAAACCAATGTTTGGTCTCACAGGCATGCAATGCACAGAGCAAACAGCCTGTCCGCAGAAAATGATTGCAGAGCAAGAAGAACTAGGCAAGACTCCATCTCTGCACAATCCATTCCAACCAAGGCTTTATTCCAACATTATCGACCTTGGATGTTACAATGTTGGTTTTCTGAGCATCACGGCATCGTCCCGCACCAGCAGCAGGTTCGTGGGCTTTCCAGTCGAGCCCAATGCCAAGATGGTGCCAACTGGAAGGTTGCCAACTGAAAGTTCCAAGTTGCTAGAAAGGAAAGCTCTTATCATATTGTTGTCCCACATGGCATCCCGACCAACACAACAATGTCCAGGTATGATGAAAAATCAGGACATGCAAAAGGCGCATGCGGCATATGGTGACAACATGAGAAAGTTATTCTTTGCGCCCACCATCTCTTGCCTTGGCTGCCAGCAGTCTTAAGCACATCTCGAGGTTCACGTGCAGACTGCCTTCACAGCCAAATAAGAAGAGGCTATAAGCACGAGTCTCAAAAGACGAACTCAAGTACCAGAACAGTTGATGCCTATCCAGTCTGCAGAATTGTAAACATTAAGGCAGGGGGATCACCACGTCTACACCAAATTTGCCATTGATGAATTTGGCCAGAATCATACCATCTTAACTGCAAAGGTAGAATCTTGAGATTTGACAGGCAAAATAGGTGCAGTAAGTTGAACAAAGTGTGCATTGTGTCATTGTGTGCATCCCTCAGTTCTGAACTTATCGCTTGCAGCAAGCATGCTGTCATATGCTGTCACTCGTGTTGTTGGCCACTCCATGTGAGATGATACATTGAGTCTGGGGTCCAAGCACTTGACTTTCCGCCATAGCAACACGCTTGCTCTTTGGCTTGCTTTGAGCCGCTTGGAACTTGGAACTCCTATGGATCTATATATATATAGAGATGTCAACTCAAATGCAAAATGAATCTTGTTGCAAAGACTCCAGCTTACGATACGGTTTTACATACTAGGTTGGAGGCCATCGCTTTTAGGTTGGAGGTCATCGCTCTTGGATTGTATTAAAGTGGTTTTAATAAATAACAATAACAATAACAATAACAACAGTATACATTTAGTATAATGTCATTGCAAAGACTGCCGCTTTCGTGAGGAAGCATTGTCACACGCAGCTGCACACCTTTGTCACACCAACAAGTCACTGCAAAGTCTGTTCAGCTCTGCAGCTCTCGGGCTACCTGAAGGGTCAGTTCGTTCATTATTGTTGTCATGTGGTACTATGCTGGTACAACCAGCAACCTGTGCTCAAGGCCTTGATGTTAAACTCCTTGCAGAGGTCAATCACTTTCTGCAAGCCTCAACCAAAGAACATTCCAGTCGACATCTCACTTGCCAACTGTCTCCCCAACTTCAAGGTCAACTGCCTTAAACATGCTAAGAAGCAAATATGCTTTTCAAGTTGTGTGACCATCTTCTGATCTACTCCCGTTGGTCCTCCGGCCTACAACCCTGGCCAAGTGAACCTGGGTGACGTCATTGCTCTTGATGCCACCTGAGTCAGCACAGCTTGGGATCCTCAACAGCTTGTCTTGGTGACTTCCAAACCGCTTAGCTTTCGTCATTGCATCATGTGTCGAAACACATCCTCGGCTTGCCTTCAGAGTCCGGAACACGCGTAGCAGAACTCCAGAAACAAAGAGGGAAAATCAAACGAAGCTTGGGTCAGCGTAGAAAATCATTTTGGATGAGTTCTTGAGTTCTTGAGCTTCGCAGCCGCCCATTCTATAGTTTGCATCCTTTCATTGTCACAAAAAGACTTTTCAAAATCAAACAGCCGACAAGCCTCTCCATTTTTGGCTGAGACCGAATCATTGATTGCAACAAGTAGTTGTATGTGACCTGAGAAGTTGGAGAGGACGCTTCAGCAACATAGCCAAATAGCTTCGGCATCGGCAACTGAAGGCAATGATACAGGAGGTACAACTATGCAAATGGCTACAGTCTACAGTTTGCACCAGTCTGGATGTCTGTTTCGCATCTTCCATCTCCCAAAAGCTTGAAACGACATCTAAGGTACCCACTACGTTCGGCCAAATTCCCTGAATCAGCATCCTAAGGATCCACGCTCACCCACCCACACAGCAAGTTCAGTTCTCCCTTTTGAATTATTGAAACCAAATAGCAACGCAAGCGCTTGCCTTTCAAACAATTGGTATTCCCGGAGTCCAGGTGATTTGCTCGTCTTACTCTTTGCACCTGGAACTCTGCGAGGGATTCTACTGCATTCAATCCTAGTCCCACTGTTTCCAGGATGCTTATCCTTCCTTTTGGGTGGTTTGATAGCGGCTTCATTGCACGTTCACAAAATGGTATCAGTTTAAGACTGGTGATCCTGGACACCTATCAGAATATGCTCTCCAACGCACTGGCTCCAGGTAAAGCTTGCACCTGCTGAGATCGCTATGGTGTAGGAAATGACATTGGGCTGAATCCCAGCATTTTCCTTGGCAATGTCTGCATTGAGCGAATTGAAAATTGAGCCTCATCTCTCTACAACCCACACATGCGACCGAGAAATGCGCTAGTCTTTCCAACCTCAGACAATTTTCGGATAGTTTAAGAATGTTTATACTGGCTGTATGGATTTGATTGCACAAGCTTGGGCTGTTGCCATCGACGGGCCTCGCCTACCCGACCAGCTTTAGCACAAGCAGAGATCATCCTTGGGTCACACAGAATGTTAAGCGATCAAGAAGTGTCACCTGCTCACAAGCTGGTGAGTATCATCAGCAAATGTAGAATCATGAATTGCAAGCCAGTTCTCTCTTGCCATCTGAGTAAAAATGGACGAAGAGAAACAGAGAAAATGACAGACAGACCAGACCAGACCAGACCAGACCAGACCAGACCAGACCAGACCAGACAGAGATAGAGAGAGCGAGCGCGAGCGGGCGCAAAAAGGAATTAGAAAAAGGACAGGAGATAGAGAGAAAAAGGAAGAACAAAGCACACTCACATACATTGCTCACCCAGCATCGAAGTGAAGGTAAACACATCTGGCCTTGCCGGTCATTGCTTGAGTCTCATCAACATTCAAAGCACAATTCGGAAGAAAATCCAAGCATTCTGATGCTTTCTGCTCCTGGTTTGTTCCTATCAACTTGCCTGAAGCCATCAGACACAGCCAAGTTGAAAAAGGTCTGGCGAGGGTGAAGCATCAATGTGCATGCAGCCTATGTGTAAAGCAGTCTTTGTGAGAAGGGTGGAAGTAACGAAGCTACGCAGTGTAAGATGCAGGACACAAATTTGAGTTCTTCAAGAAATAAAGCGTTCTCCCAGAGGGTTAGGAGAAGCTTCCTTAAGTACGATGCAGTTAGAGAGCCTTCGAATGCTTGAACTGAATCTGTGAATGTCTGGCAGAGCAAGCACTCATCTTTCTCCATCGTTTGACACGGCGGTTCAGCACGGCAATGAAGCAGGGCACCTGCGCTCGCTTCTCATCCTTGGAGAGAATCAAGAAACTGTAATGTGGCCACCCTTCACCTTGACATGGGGCTTCACCGCGCAACAGAGTTCTGGGGTCGGCACCCCCACCTTCGCGCAAGCCTTGATCATGGCCTCAGCTTTGCGGCGAAGGTCCGATCAAAACAAGAGACCAACTTGTCGCAATTCAACTGTCTATCTTCTTCGCTTCCACACACGAGGTGACCAGCCGCCCATCACAAATATTCCGTGCCCACCCCTGCCCCCGTCAAGGTTCAAGTGGGTGAAGCTTAACAACACTAATTCGCTGCAACAATTTGTTGAAAGAAGAAATGTTCACTGTGTCCTAAGAATGGTGAATTTTTTGTAATAAGGGTTGGAGAATTGTGTGGAGTGGGGAATTGCCAAATCGGGATTGTGAGGAGGCTGGTCACCTCCGCCCCAACGAATATCCTGCTTGGAAAAGCTGCGATGTTCAATAAAAGCAAGAAAAAAAACGCCTTTCCGCATTTCCAATCACGTAAGACCGCAACATTGTAACTCCAAATGTTGAGAGAAACGTGCGGCTGCCTAGGCAGCAAACATTTCAGGCTGCGTGACTTGCTCATGTTCCCTTGTATGATCCTGAAGTAGTGCCTGTTCAAGAGATAGAGCCCCCTTTCTTTGCCCCTTTCAAGGAAATATGCAGTTGCGTGTAAAGACCTCCGCAACAAATACTAGGGGCAAAGCTCCTTCGCTTTGCGAAACCAAGCCTTGGTGGAATGCAGTTGAAGCAAAAGATTTGGGAACTGAAGTGAAGAAACTGGTCCATCACAAGCGGAAGCAAGTCTTGCCAAGCACGGCATAGAGCGAAGCTTCCCACACGAGCACTATCGATTTCACCACTCTCCGCATATGCATTGATCATCGATGTGAAGACCTGCAGCCCGGGCGAGCCCAGGTGTGGGCAGACCATGCAGGGCACTGGGCCCGCTGGGTGGCAAACCACATGGTTCGGAGCTACCCCTGCCTGAACGAAATTTACATACATACATACATACATCCATGCCATGCCATGCCATGCCATGCCACGCCACGCCACGCCACGCCATGCCATGCCATGCCATGATTCCATTCCATTACATTCCATTACATTCTATTACATTCCATTACATTACATTACATACACACACACATTCAACAATATCGTCGCGCGAACTCAATGCCAAAACACAAGTAGGAGTGGGAATGCTCAGTTTTCACCTTCTGTCCAAACTCCTGAAAGGAGCCCAAAAGGAACCTGTAGATGATATAACCTGTACCGGCTAAACCTCTCGAGCTTTGCCAAGGACTGTTGTGCTCTGCGCTTCCAAAAGTGAATGAATGCCTCCTGAGCTTTCTGGATACAGCGCTCTGCACTCTCGAGATTCCCAGCCTGCTTAGCGCTGCATTGTCTGGGGGTGGCTGCTGTGGTTCGAAGCCTTTGTCTGTGTTTGTGTCTTCACATTGCATAGATTGGCCTTTATGTACGCCTTCAAGAGCACGGCGAGAAGAATGGTGTTGCTTTTGCCTCTCCCTGCTAAAGCCTAGCGCAACTTGCAGCACAAAGTTGTCAAAGAGAGAATTGTCCAGACTACGCAATGGTGCAGCCAAAGTCTATCCTCTTACACATGTTGAATTACATTTGATGTTCTTTGTTTCTTCATTTCACCCCTACGAGAAAAATTGGTATTTCAGCGCTAAACCTGCCTCGTCATACCATCTTTGGGCATTTTGAATGTCACCTGCGTCAGCGTACGCTGAGACCTGAGTAGGTGACTTCATCATCAACGGATCTACCAAAGCGTGCGGTCAGGGGGCCAAGGTGCCATAGGTCAGCATAGAAGGTCGCAGTTTGAGCGATTGCATCTCTGCCAAATGTTCCTTCATGCGGTTCCTGGCACGGCAGTGCATGCAAATAGGCAGAGCCCGGTGGAGCGTCAGCATTTGTGAATAAGGGTGCGCACTTGACTAGTTATACATATATATATTATATATATATACAAATGTGCTTGCGAAAATATGTATTTGTATACAACATCCCTTCAAGCTCACCTTTGTCTCTGCTGCAGGCAGGGCGCCGCAGGGACGCCATCATCACGGCATGAATTTCACTTAGTGACTTAGCGCACAGGGCTCATCACAAAGCAGTTGCACCAAGCGCTTGGAGGAAGGTTGTATATAAGTATTGTCACAGGCTTTCGGCTTTCTCCAACAACCAAGGGAACACCGAAGCAAAATGAAGAACATGAGCGCAAGTTGCATGATCCAACTTCAAGAAAACTGTACTGGCAATAGGTGTGAAGCGGCGCGATCACTGGTGTTGATTTCGGCTCCAATGACCTTGACTCTCTTCTCACCTTTGACATCCTTTTCAGGAGATCTCAAGATGTCGAACACCCGCGCAGTCCAAGGGATAGGACGATAGTTCAATCAACTCCCAACCTGCAATAGTCACCACAGCACCTGAAGACCCCGAAGAGGAACTTGACGATCTCTCCAAGGTCCACGGCCAAGGTCAGCCTATTCAAAGCTCGAATCAGATTGTCAATGTCTTATTCGGTGACAGGCAAACTCATTCAATGCTGTAGCCAGCTAGTCGCGCTCCAATTGGTGGAGAAGGAAGGAGGTTGTTGAGGAGTTGGGCTAGGCTGCATTGCGAAGACTAAAGAAGAGGGTGCAGTGGTGCAGTCAATCCGTGTGACCGCCGACGTTCTGGTGTCAAGGGACGATTAATTGCTGACTTCAAACCAAGGAGCGGCGAGCGTTGCTTTGTCATGATGAAAGGATTTGGTCGACAGGGGAAGAGGCAAGTGCATTGTTTTCGGTGTGGCTCTTCTCTCAAGGCCAGCTGGCCTAGTCGGCGACGGATCTCTGAGAGGCAGGAAAGCCGGGAAAGAGATGCCTTGAGCAGCAAAAGGCAAAGATGAATCCGACAGAAATGCCAGCAAAGGCGCAGTGCAAAGGGCACAAGGCCGCCGAGAGGTCGTGAAGAAGTGAGAGGAGTCAAAAAGAGGCCCTACACTGCACATGCCTTGAGCACAGTGAAGCAACGGTCAGTTCTAAGTGGGCACACAACTCAGCTATACCAAAAGCAATCTCGTTTGGATCTTGGTAAGGGGCCCCTCAAAAAGTATTTAGATTTGATGGCGCACGAGTATCTCTAGCCGATGTGGCAGTATGTGGACACTCGAACTTGTCCATGAAAACATGCAAGCCGAGCATTTCGCCAGAGACTGCTGCAGCCTTGATCAATGAGTTGTACGAGACCTTAGAGCCGATACCGTCCAGACCCAAAAGCGGCAGAAGACCAAAGAGCCTCAACAGAATACGACAAACCTCCAAACCCGAACACAAGAATCCCGACAGAGTCGGGCTGTAAACCCGCGGATGAGACTTGCTGCAACCAATCCTGGGATTGGCGGCCAAAATGGAATTATCAGCATCTAGCTATGGCCGACATGTCGAACGATGTCATGAGTGATGACGGCTTGATGACTACTACACTAGACCTGAAATCAAAAAAATCCACACTCCACTCAAACATGTGCCTTTGCAGCGTCTTCATCACCCTTCTCCGCAAAAAAGTTGATGATCTAAGAGGTGGTGGCTGTGAGATGTTCATGCAAGCTGAACAAGGTGGGGCTCTTGACACTGCGCCAACAAATGCAGTTGAAGTTCAACAGCAAAATCAGGGACGTTGTAGCGAGAAGCTTCAGAGGCACAGGCAAGCGCCGTCCCTAGCACACCCAGCGAAAGGTGTTGAATACAGCTTGTAAGTTTTAGTTTTGTATATATATATATGTATATATATATATTGTATCTGGAAGGTGATGTATACACCATTACAAGCTGTGTGCTTCTGGCTGATGTGAACAAATTCAATGACAAATCCAAATTCTTGGTGGGCTGCCTTTCAGCTGCTTGATGGAAAGCTGCATTTGCGAGGCTTTCGTGGAGCGCGATTTCTATGTTTCAGTGACTTTCTGTGCTGTATGAGTCACTGAGTCACTCCAAATAATTTCGAGACTGACAGGGACCTTTCTTGTCTTTGCACAATGCTTCTCGTGCGCTGAGCATGTTTCCGGCATTGTGTCTGGCATTGTGAGGGCAAGTTCTGGTTTGATGTCAAGCGGAATGATGTTCATTATGTCAGCCACTGCGCCACGCGCACACTCCTCTGTTCGATGTTTCATGGTCCCCATTAGCCCATTAGCTGCAAACCCAAGGTGACTGCTCACAGAAGTATGTGTGGTTGAGATACATGACGAGGTTGGAGGATAGCACACAAGTCGCCCCAGGTCTCCCACATGTTCGTTCACTGTCTTCTGTTCATTCTATTTGTTTCTTTTTTTGGCCCGCCCTTACTTAATTATATAAATAGGTACCTACTTAATTTAAGTAAGGGAGTGTTTCACTACTAGCAATAGGGCGCTACTAGTAACTGGACGCAGGATAGCTCACGCTTCTTTAAGGAAGCTCCCCCAGCTTCCTTGAAGAAGCGCTCACATTAATCATTTGGTTCCTAAATCTTTAGGGAAACTTCACTTCTTTTGTTTTAGTTTTTCTCTCTAAACGCACAATCAAGCTGCAATATGCCTCCCTATCTCTTGAGCAATTGAGGCTCAAGGCCATTTATGCAATCGCGCCCGTATAAGGTCACAAGGTCAGAACTGTGTTGTAGGATTGCAGGTCCAGGTTATTGCCAGAGGCCTTGGCAAGCCCCAGTCCAAAGGTTTGTATGAACACCAAGACTTTGATAATGAAGGCGGCATTTCACACGCAAAGCCTGCTGGGACTTGAGCTTCAGCTCGTTCTAACCACTTCTTGGCGTCATCTAAGTTGCCTTGACGGCAGTAACCCTTGATGACAGCCTTGGTCATTTGTCTGAAAGAAAATGCTCGTGTTAAAGCTGAGCAAAGCAAACTACAGGAATTCATATCGTGCTGCAGAAAAATAGTAGATCAAGGCCACGACATTATACATGGCCATGTTGGGTCTGACGCCTCCGATTCGCACCACTTCGGAAAATTGATTAAAGAATAAAGTGCAAAGAAGAGAAACAAGACTGAAAGGCAACATTGGACCCAGCTGGCCTTCCTCCTCGGCTTGCGACAGCCAAGTGGCGGCCTCGTCACCATCTCCGCGCTCAGCATAGCCATCAATGATGGGACTGTACATCATCCTGTCAGAAAGTTTGTTTGCATACATGTAACAAGAACTGACATAACATGTTCTGTTAAAGAACATTTGAATGCAATTGATTTTTGTATTTCTCGTCATGTTTGTTTGTTCTTGACCAAAAGCCACAGACGAATGTTGCGTCTTTTCAGCTCAAAAAATGGGTTGTGGTTCCCGCAACAGCTTGGCAGCTATGTCAATGAGTTTAGAAAATTATGTCGGGTACGCCCATCGCCCTCCCGGCCCAAAGCTTGAGAGGCTGGCAGGTCTGCTTTGATCCCTCGTTGCAGAGCCCTTTGGAACCATCGCACCCCTCGCGGAACATCTCCTGCCTGGCAAATAACATGGAACAACCCAGAGACTCTTGGGGCTTTGAAACTTCCAAAACCAAGCCATGTGGTTGACACCGCATGAAAGCTGTACGGATCATAGGATGTTGTCGGTGAAATGAAGCACACTGAAACAAAAGAAATACTACTGCGAAAACAGGTGTCTACCTCGAGGGAAATTACAAATACAAAGCAAAAATTGCCGTACCTTGCAGCAGGCTGTGATCACAGACTGGTAGCACACAAGCTCTGGCTGAAAGCCCTGAAAGGTGTTCAACACTTGATAAGGGACAATCCATCAAATCAGTTACATCTAGGATTGGCAAGGCTGTACGAAGGAGTGCAAAACAAACGAAGCATTTCAAAAAGTCGGAAATGAAGAAGGAGGAAGCTGTGAAAGAAAAATCGGAATGGATGGCAGCCTCCGTTCAGGCCTTAGCCTTACTTTGATCAAATACAGGTGTTTGATGTATTTGATCAAGTTTCGAACTGATGTTCAATGCCCGAACATTGGTTGGTCATGTTTGTGCGTATGTTGCGACTGACCTTTGAGCTGGCATGTGCATGGTTTGATTTTGCTCATGGCTTACCGCTGCTGCATTTTCCCGGCATCCGGATGCTCGACACTCTTTGCAAGAAACACTGCTGCGAGTCGCTGCTTTGCTTTTGCTTTTGGGAGGCCCTTTGGTGTTGAGAGGTTTGGCCACCCCATTGCCCAGTTTGGTAGCGGAGCTAGAGGGCTGCCTGCTGCACCTGTGAGCCTGCACTAACGCCATGACAACGGGCGCTGATCTGGGGATAGCTGCTGCTGCACTTCCGCTAGAGGCAGACGCCTAGCGGCGACCCCAGAAGACAACACTAGGACCAACGCTGTCACAGGAAGAGCCAGGAACTTGAACAGCTCAGCCACCTCCAGCCCTCCACAGGGCTCATGTCTATGACAAGCCACAGCCAGAGAGTTGGCCCCACTGCGGGGCGCCGGTGCCGATTCCACCAGGCAGACACCAGCCACAATGCAATGGTCCACCTTCCCATGTTCATGGCCCCAACCAACGATGCCCATGACAGCCATCAGACGCCACAGGCACCAACCTGCCACGGCCTCAGGTGGCTCTTGAGGACGATGACCGGACGAGGGCCGAACAGCCATCTTTCATTACCGGTTTGATGCGCTGGCGAGGCGAAGGCCACTCACACCACAAGGACAGTGAGGAGAAAACTCTACATAATGCCCTCAAGCAGGATGAAGAGAAGGAGGTGGAGAGGGATGTTCAGGATCTGATGAGTGAGTACAGCCATTGCGACGACTACCAGCCATCTGCAGGAGAGCTGTACCCAGATGATTTTTGGCGCAAGGAGGAGGAGGAGGAGGAGGAGCAGGAGCAGGAGGAGGAGGAGGATGATGGTTGGCGAATACAGATTGGTAATGCTCAACGCCGTCTCTGTGATCTTGGTGTACTGGTCCACTTGGCATGGGACCATGATGGTGATGCACCACACTCCACCACCAGCAGTCAGTGCAAGAGCAAGGGAAAGAAGGCCGCCTGTTCTCGATGGGTGAATGGAGAAGGACGCTGAAGGTGGATGGTCCATGGTGGACCAGCAGTTGCCCTGGCCTCAAAAGGCAGAAGTGAAGGTAAGAGATGAAGCTGAGTGTGACCCGCCACCCCGGCATTGAGCTCGTGGATTTCGAAGATTCAGAAGCTGAAGCAGAAGAAGGGCAGAAGAAGATGAAGATCCTGCAAGAGATGCCTCAATCATATGCCTTCCTGGCAGATGGATCACAGACAGAAGATGAAGAGACCAGCAAAGAAGGAGATGAAAGTGAAGGAATCGGTGGAGCGGCTACGCCGCTCGCGAGATTGGAAGTGCCTTCAAAAAAGAGGAGACCAGGATTTCTCAGAAGCAGAAAAGGAAATCCAGAAGATGATGGAAGAATCAAAGAGGAGTGAAGAGGAAGAAGCCTTGGACAATGGTCGGAGAGGGATGAGCCGACATGAAGGTGCCATCACCATCAGAATCCTTTCGTAGGAGCTCTTAGGATTCTGGACATGCGCCATCTCCATGAAGGCAAGCGTGCATGGCTGGACCTCATCGGAACCCATCTCTTTGCCACATTGAGACATCCTCAAGGAACAAGACTGGATGGCTTGATGTTGCTCTTGGCTTTCCGCCGCCGCATTTTCCAGACATCCGGACGCTCAACACGCTTTGCGAGAAACACTGCTGCGCGTTGCTGGTCCCCTTTCAATCTGCTTTTGGGAGGTTCATGGAGGTTCCTTTGGTGTTGACGGGTTTGGCCACCCCATTACCGACATATACAACATCTTTCTTTGTCCAAAGGCGGGTTGCATGGATGCGCCTCTTCCTCCATGGTCCCCAACCAAAGCTCCGCCTCTTCCACCTGTTGCGTTGACAAAAGGGCTGGTCGCTGCAACGCACCACAGTCAGTCTGAGAGTCAAGCAAGCTCAGAATTCGCTGCAGCTCTGATCAGTTTCCCAAAAGTCCTGTCCAGCATAGTGCCACTAGGAAACCCTCAACTCCTCTGCACAAGTTTGCTTATAACTCTGTTCACAAACGACAGCCTGGAATTCGGTATGATCTGGGCAGCACGCATGCGCTCGTACCTGAAGGGCAGGCGATGTGCCCGAATGTAGAGGGCAACATAGATAAACCACGCCAAACATCCCGAGACGTTTAACCTGCGTGACACGACAGCATTGCTTAGCCTGGTTGAACATAGTTCTCTTTGGCGATGTAAGAAATGTTGCAACGGCCATAGCATTCTTTGCATCAGTCATGGTTGTCTTTGGGCGTTCCAATCAAGTGTGTCTTGGGGCGCTGTGTGATGAACTTTCATTGATTGCATGGGATAGATGTGGGTGACCAGTCAAAATCAAATCAAAACTGTCTTGGATATAGTGTTGGAGGGTCTGCTTATTCTGCATGTTGTTTTCATGAATCTATGGATGGTTGGATGCCCTCGGCCTTTAGCAAGTTCCAGCAACATCTGAAACAAGTGCTTCGTGGAAAGTCACTGTTGCAGGTGGGTGCTGCTGTTTCGAAAGATGTACAAGAGGTATCTTGAACAGGTTGAACAGCATAGGCTAGGCACTAGGCAGATCACCTTAGAACGGCAGCACACACAACCACCGTTGAGAGAATCAGGAGAGGATTCCAGTGTCGACATGTAGGAGAGGTTTGCAGAATTTGAACCGTTGAAATGATTGCACTCTGACCCACTAATATGGACGTGGAAAACCCCCTGTTCGTAGACGAGTCTTCCAAGCGCCTATTTTGTACTTCCATGTTACTGGGTCAGAGTGTAGCCACTACCAGGCCAGGTATGAGCAAATGCACATCTCATCTCATCCACAGGCCGTTGACCCTTTTCGATATATATATATATAAAGACTCAGGCCCTTAGCGCTCTGTTTTGCTTTGCAAGGTCGAGGTTGTCAAAAATATAAATGAGAAATGAAAGCAAAAATGGACACTCTCTTCTCTTTAGAGAAAGCCCCCCCCGGAAACCTGCCGCCAATCCAGGCAGAGATCCGGCCCGAGGGCTGGTACAAGTTGCCCTTTTCCCCTCCGCCATTCCGGAGAAAAGAAAAGGCCCACAACTTGTTTGAAATGTCATTCTTTCTGGAAAAAATAGGCTCACGGAACTCACAGCGGCTCACCAGCGGCTCATTTGTGAAGTCTTCTTCATGCTCTTCTTCTTCTTTCCTCCTCCCAACACCCGCGCAGGGAGGGAGAGGTGGGGCTATGAGCCAATGCTGCGGGAAACACTCGCTAACAGTACCTATCGTCTTTAATTACGGGGCCGAAATTACAAAGACTCAGGCCCTTAGCGCTCTGTTTTGCTTTGCAAGGTCGAGGTTGTCAAAATTATAAATGAGAAATGAAAGCAAAAATGGACACTCTCTTCTCTTTAGAGAAAGCCCCCCCGGAAACCTGCCGCCAATCCAGGCAGAGATCCGGCCCGAGGGCTGGTACAAGTTGCCCTTTTCCCCTCCGCCATTCTGGAGAAAAGAAAAGGCCCACAACTCGTTTGAAATGTCATTCTTTCTGGAAAAAATAGGCTCACGGAACTCACAGCGGCTCACCAGCGGCTCATTTTTGAAGTCTTCTTCACGCTCTTCTTCTTCTTTCCTCCACCGCCCCCTGTCCTGCTCGTACGAGCTGGCTCAAGCATGGGCAGTGGATTTTTGCATGAATTCAGGAAAATTTGGCGAAATTGACGGTTAGAAGGTGACCATTTCAACTGCATAGTAGCAAGTACTGACAGACCATCGTTCACATAGGCCCTAGCGGTTTTGGCATTTTGCCAACGACCGTATAGAAGCAATCTATCGAGCGTACCCCATTTTTTAAACCAATAATCTCCGCCTCTTCGAAGCGAGTAGGGGCGGAAATCATGGGTTTCGAAACCAACTGCCTTCAACGTGTCGTTGAACTGTTTTCGCCAATGAGCTGGAGCTGAACACAACGGGTGATGCGGTGGGCAATCTCTGACCCACTTCCAAAGCCAGCGAATGGGCTGTTCGGCAGTCATTGCAACACTCTCAGCTGCACCCTGCCCATGTCCTCCCTTGGTCCATCCTAGTGAAATGACAGCAGGACCGCGTTCTGAATCCACCGAAACATGATCGGAGGTGAGGCCAAGTTCTCTCCCGTTCGTAGAACACCGTAGTATCCCACGAGGAGAGACAGAGCAAAGTGGTACTCTTTCTTAAAAATTGAGTATCCGACAAGGGTTTGAAGCGCTTCCTCAGGCATAGGAGGCGCACGGGATGGGACCTCATTAACACTCCAGGCCTTCAAAAGCCTCCAGGTAGCGGGCAGTTGACGACGCACATTGGGTTGTGCGTCCTGAATTCCAGCAACCGTGTCAGCTGCAGGTGCACGTCCAAACCCTTCACTCCACAAGTGCTCTACGTAGACACAGAGAAGCCGATCAAGTTCATGTGGTCCCGACGGAAAACGCAAGCCTTCGGCTCGCAGAAAGGCCCAAAACTGTTCCATTGCTTTTTCGTAGCGTTCACGGGTCTTTGGTTGAACCGTAAGTGATTGTAAACTTCCTAACTCCGCTCTCCTTCTCTTCCTTTCCTCCTGAGTGCATCCTTCAACATGAGCACGTTTCACTTTAGCCATTTCTTGCGAAGTGGGCGCCGACTTGGCTTGTCGGCGGGGTTGAGCTCTGTATGGACATACGTCCATATGCCATGACTTCCGGATGCCAACAGGAGTGCGTTGATTCGAAGAAGAGTCCGACGGAGTTTTCGGCTACTTGAACGGCCACGCGCCAGGGAGTGCAAGCAAACTTGAGAGTCTACCATGCGCAGAAAGCGAGTATTCAACCAACCTTTGCGAGCAAACCGCCAACGCAAAGCTGTAAGAACAGCGCGAAGCTCAAGCCCGTTAATGTGTTCTGGATCTCCTCGCCACCGCCAACCACAAATGACTCGCCAACGCCAGAGATTTGAGGGGATGCTAGCTCGCAAGCGATGTGAACGCTGGACGTCTTCCGATGGGGCTTGAAGCAGAAGGTCCTCACCCTTACCACTAATCAAACCACTCAACTTCCGGATCAGCGTGTCCTGTGCAGCTTCTACTCGACCACGCGGAACACGCATGAAGGGGCGCAGCAGGAAACCCTGAAGCATTTTACCTCCACCTGGCTTACACTGCTGCATGAGCTCGTCCAGCGACAAGGCATTGCACAAACCACGAGGCACTCCCAAGCAGGAAATTAGCCATGCAATCACGAAGACGCACCATGAATTGCCAATCAAACTGAGACGCTCATCCACCCACGTTTTTCCCGACCGATGAGACTTGGGCAAGCAGTTTGCTGTATAGCCTCGAGGGAAACCCATCAGGACTTCTCGCTCTTCCACACTTGGAACAACACGAACTTCTCCACGCTTGTTCTGCGCGCACAAAGGAGTCCGGTACTGATACGGGGGAAAACGAAACTGATCAGCTTCCCATCGTTGCAATTCGGACGCATCACACTGCTGAATGCCTGCAGGTCGCCTGCCCGGGGAACTTCGTGGGCGACTGGTTGTAAACCTAGGGAAAGCTTGTTCACTACACTTGTGCCAGCCAGGTTCCAGGAACTCCTCAATGAAGTAGGGACTCTCCAATGAAACCTCCATGACCCTTTTCCACCCTTCACCCTTGACCGTGGAGATGGAGCTGCCATTGCCATCTTCCAACTCCCACGAGGGCCAATATAGGCGCGGGCGGCGACAACCAGTCACACCGGAGGCGTCGAGGAGCACAGGTGTACTCCCAGCAGACTGGCTCATCACAACCCTGTCCGCCTCATCCATAGAAGCCACGGATTCCATCAGCCTGTGCACTTGGGCCCAAGGAAATCCTTCCCGTACCAGCTCAAAGACACGCTCGACATGTGGGAACAACCCGCTTCGGTGATCCTTCAGCGCGCCCCGCCTATCGGCGTTGAGCCCAGAAACACCTTGGCAAGGCGGACCAGCGCCAATCAACACCAAGCTTACCTGGCTGTAGAGACATGCCCAACCTTTGACCATGTCACGACTAATCTCGGCCACGTCCTTCACAAAAATGGTGCCAGGAAAACAACTTTCAACCACACGCCTTGCCAGCTCGTGACATTCAACAGAGATGTGACCGATCACCGAAAGCCCCACGGCGTCTGCCGCGACACGCAACCCACTGATACCATCGAACAATCCAATGGTCAACACCGTAGCGACCTCACTCAACTCCAGAAGGTCTCCTCGAACTGGGAAGTTTGCCGCCATTGCACCCACTTGAGTCAGACCCGTGGAGGCAGTCACGCCTCCCCCTGTGGTCGATGCATCAGACGCAGTTGCCACCCCAGAGAGTCCAAGCCTAAAGTCCATGCGCGCCAAAGGCAACAGCAAGCAGAAGCGTCCCAGCTCACTACGAACACCACTAGGAATGACTCGTGTATGAGGCCCATCCACGAAGCTCTGGATGAAGGTCCAAACCTGGTTCAAAGCACCAAGGAGAGGTCGACGAAAGGTACAAAAGTAGACAAAGCCGCCAGCAACCACCTGCATTTGCCTTTGAGCGCACCTACCCTGCTCCAAGAGCAAATGACAAAGTTGAAGGTACTTGCCAATCTTCTCCGCCTTCGGTGAAGCCATCCCTGTGACCCCATCGATCTCCGCACCTTGCACCTCCGCCTTGACCTCCCTAGCCACTGCCTTCTTCGGGCGATGAGGAACATGTCGCTTGGCATACTCGGCGCGCAAAGCTTCAACAAAGTTTGAACTAGTTCCTTTGATGTCCAGAGCAAGCCGAGAATCAAACTTCTCCAAAAGGTCAAAGTTGTCCAGGTAGACGCGATATGAGGAGTTACTCCATGAGAAAGGGCGGTCTTTCCGGCGCTCTGCCTCCCAACCCGCCCGCACTCCTCGATTCACACACTCCTTCACCGCCTCTCCCACGATGTTTCGGTGGATATGCTGGGCGAGGGAGACCGAGTTGCAGAACCCCGTCGGCAACACCCTGCTGCACAAGAAGTAGGCGCCGTGGTCGTCTGGACACAGACATGCGGGAACTCGTCGACCAAATGCCAAATACCTGCGCCACTCATCTGCAACCGAGAAAATATAGAAAAAACACCTCACATCTTCTGAACTCACCATCAGGACCTGGTCAACTCCAACCATCGACGGCCAAGCAGGTAAAGTACTGATATCTCCGCTCATCGATCGACAAATTCGGTTCAATGGGATGAGATTCATGATCAGCCTGTGGACCGGCGTTGAACCATCCATCTCGTCTTTCGGAACCCCAAAGAGCCCGTTGAACAAAGGCTTGCCTCCAATGCGATGTACTTGATCCTCCCTGATCAGGCCACAGATTCCCTTGGTGAGGAGTCCTTTGCACAGGTCCTCCCATTCACCATCCGGAACCATGACCCTAGGAGGTTTGGTGTACACCTGGTCCGCCTCTGGCAAAAGATAGGAGTCAAAAGTTCAACACATAGTGCAACGAACCCTTTGAGACCACACTGCTCAATGGGACGGTCCCCACTTCACTAGGCAGTGCACTCCGAACATTCGCCCAACTGGTCATCTGAGCGGCTTTCACCTCATCACCCTTGTAATCGATGGTCTTCACCTTCATATACTCTGCCCACGACATCTCTGGCAATCTTGGGCGTCTTTGCTGAAAATTTTTCGCCACTTCACTCAAAAACATGCAAACTTTAACTTGAACGTGTGAGAGCTTCAGGCCTGAGTCTGGTATATATCCATATAAATGATTCAAACCACACATCAAACCTCTCACCATGGCAAAAACATGTGAATCCAGACCTGAGAAACAAGGGTGGTCCTCCAAACCGTCGAGGGGAAACGGAAACAAATTCCCCGTGGGCGAGACCTTGCAAAGCGACGACGACGACAGTTCGAGTCTCCACCCCTCCACCAACTCATGAAACTCACTCGCACAAGCAGGCACTCCCAGCGTGATGGCCTGTACGCACACATAGTCCGGGCTCATAGGATCTCTCCCGAACTTCTCTTCTAGGCATCTTTCCTTCAAAGGCATCTGTTTCACGGCACGGCATCTCTCTCCTCACCCTCTTGAGTTCTTCGGAGATTTCTTCGTCCACCCAAGCCTGGCTGTCTTTCACTTGTCGGCCTTCTCTCCTCGGCCACGATCTCCTCCTCCTTTGTTCTTCCCTTCTTTGTCCTTTGTCTTTCCTTTGCCCTTTGCATCGCTCTTCCCCTGTGCCTCGCTCTTGCCACCTTTCCACGATGAAGTCTCCCACGAACCTCTCTGAAGTTGCTTGTTGCGGAGCTCCTCCCGACTCTCCTTTGCTGCCGCCCACGACTCGGCCATCGTGGCCAAAGACCCCAAGTCCTGCGGCACCACCTCGAACCTCTGGGCCACCTGTCACGTTGAGCCAGCGCTGATGGATTCCAAGCTCTTTAGTCTCTGAACTAGGATGTCTGCACAAAGCGCTGGTTGGCAGCCGATCAGGGCGTCCAGAGCGGCCGACGCGTTCAAGGCCTCTCGCGACATCACTGGGCTCATCTTCGGGCTCAGCACTTGCCTGAAGAATTGCAACCCCACTGGTTGAAGCGGGGTGTTCTCCTCCTCTTCTTGCCCCATGGTCTGCAACATCTGCTTGCGCATTTGCTTCATGGCATGAAATGCCAGGGCTCCTGGTCCTCTCTTTGCTGCCAACTGCGTCCTCGCGCTCTCCTGGAACAGCTCCTCCAGCTCGTCCTCCATCAGCTCCCCCGAGCATCCGTCTGAATCCGTGGAGCTGGAACCTCTTGACTTCTTTTTCAGAGCCCGTCTGGCCAGCCTCGACACCTTCTTCCGTGTCCTTGAATCCTTGTCCAGGCCGGTTCCGGCAAACAGGGCCCCGTACTCCTGCTTTCCTCCTACCTTGAAAGACTTCTTCTTTTTCTTCTTTCTCTTTTTCTTCTTTCGAGATTCGCTGCTCTCGGACGACACCTTCTCCTCTTCTCCTCCTCCAGGAGTTGGAATCGCTTCGGCTGCCGGGCCGGGACCTCCTCCGCCAGCTCGGGCTGCGGCATCCGATCGTTCTGCAAGGTCTTCCATTCCGCTGGACCCTTTGAGGTTGTCGACCCATCCAGGATCCGAAGCACTCCTCCTCTGCAGCTTCTTCACGTGGACCAGGGCGATGACCTCCAGTGCACCTCCTTGGATCTGAACTGACTCAACCTCAAAGGCAAGGTTGATGTCTCGCCCCCAGTACCTCCCTTCTTCGAGGAGTCTCAAACCTGGGTTGAGGACTCCCACAAGAAAGAGTGAAGGCGTCCACAATGCCACCTTCCTCGAAACCTCTGACTCTTTCGTCTGCAGCAGATGGACGACGACGAACTCCGTCACCTTCTCGCTCTCCTTCGTCCTCTTCTCTCCTTCTTCTAAGGGCTGGCGGCCTCCCACCAACGGCTGGTCTCCTCAAGGGCCGAGGAGGCATCTACCGCCCTTTCGTCTTTTCCGCTCTTCGCCAAGCAACGTACTCCTTAAAGGTCTTTTGGGTTTCCTTCTTCTTCAAGCCTTTGTTGGATCCACCGTCCTCCTTTGGCTTTGCCTTGGTAGGTCTCGGCTTCAAGACGTACCTGTTCTCCCTGGGAGCTGGACCTGTCCAGTGGGGCGGCGGCCTTGATGGCGATCTCGGGCGTCTCACCTCTCTAACCTCCTCTTCAGGTCGACTAGGTCCAGCCACAGGTGTACTCGATGAAGACCTCTCGTGCTTCTTGGCTTTCCGATCACGGGACCTGTCGTGATGATGGCGATGCTTTCTCTTCTTGGGCGATGGACTCCCTTCGAAATCTCTCTTCTTGTCTTCCCGGCTAGGAGATTGACTGTAAACCTCCCGAACGCCAGGCTCCTCAACGGGCCACTCGTCTCCACTGTAGTCTGCGGCCTCCTCTTCTTTCTTTACCCTCACTTCAGGCTTGGGAGATCGTTCACGGGTTCGAACAGGGGGACTGGGCAACTTCTTCGCGGCCAGACTCTTTGTAGCCTTCTCCCGCTCTTCCTGACTCAGTCCCTCACCAGCCTCAATCTCCTGATCTCCGTGAAAGGCCGGCCTCGATGGATGCTTCTTCGATGCCTCTGCGTGCCTAGGTGCCTTTTCCTCCTGCCTCGCCTTTGATCCTTTCTCTTTGGATGCCTCTTGATGCCTTACCTCCTTCTGCTTCACCTCTTTCTCACTGCCTGGTCCTCGATGTTCAGCAGGAGGTCGCTCCACCGAGCTGTCGCCGGTCACAGGAGGAGGAAGTGCCGGTTCCTCCCGTACCTGCGGCCTGTGCGCGTCCAAAAAGTCTTCGAGCTCGCCGACCAAGTTCCTCACCTTGATGGTGGCGTAGCCCACGAAGAGATCTGGCTCGATCCGTGTCCCTTCTGTCACCACCCGGAACACCCTCCGGAGTGATGGACAGAGGGTGCAGTTGCACGACAAGGCGTGCCCCCACATCCACGGCTATGAGCCAATGCTGCGGGAAACACTCGCTAACAGCACCTATCGTCTTTAATTACGGGGCCGAAATTACATAGAGAGAGAGGGAGAGAGAGCAAAAGTAGTGGCAGACCTGGCTCTAAACCTTCCGGCGTCGGCAGCTGGATATTCAGTGGGGCCCTTCCAAAGGATTCCCAAGGTGGCAAGGGACCTTGTACGTGGAAGGCTAGGCATCGCGGTCTCGGCCACACTTTGCGTGTAATTATCAGACCCGGCAACCCCGACAAATGAGGCACAATGGCACTCAAATTATAATATACGATCTCTGGCGGCATTGGTTTCAGTGTCTCAAGCTGGTGAGTGTCGAATGTATTTGCCACTCAAATGCCTGGCAATTGTTGCGCACCAGTCCACACTTTTCGTCATGTTTCCGGAGCTGCCGGCTGCCTACAATATCATCTCAAGAAAATCTCAAGCACTGCAATTTGCCTTTCAGAAAGTGCCTTGATTGCAATGTTGAAGGACATCCTGGCCAAGATGCATCACACCACCCTTTTCTTAGTCATCAAAATATGACGGTATCACGTATCAGACACAACTTGCGCTTCAATCCAAACGCACCTCCCAGTCCTTCCCCATTGGGGTGTACCGGAGGGTAGACTAGACACCAACTCTGTAACAAAACGTGCAACGAAACCGCATGTTTAACCGGAATATCCCAGGTTGAAACAAACGCGAATTATGACGAACTGCTCATGCTTGACGGACCAATTACTAATTCACTGATCAAGACCTATGGAATCTATAGGCGTACGGGAACGAATACACTTCTTTACCCGTTGGTAAAGATTATGGCATTTCGAGAAAGTTTATCAGCAGGCAAATGATGGCCAAAAATGGCACACGACAAGTTTGGCACAAAGGGTAGGCGAACATTCAGAGGATAGGGTTGGCCTGGTGATGAGGCATAGCGCAACAATTGCATCGCCTGTTCACGTTGTGGAAGTGTTGGACGAGATGCAATTCCCCCCACCAAACTATGATGATAACCCAATCGCACCATGGTAGAAGCACCTGTTTTGCCATACCGAGGGTACAACTTAGTTTGGGCTGTGCTTTCCAAGTACTGTACAACATTTCGAAAGTTAGTAGCTTAATGCCACAGGCTTCTAACTTCAGGTTTTTGCAATGATACTTCTGGTGAAAAGAACTCAAATGGGTGTGCTGGTTGATTTTCCTGGACTTTGATCCAAATGGGCATACATCTACCTGCAAAAAGTGAAAAGTGAATCACGAGCTCATACCATGTGATGCCATAATCGGTTTTCGCGAAGGAAGATCTGGATGGCGCCAGTTCAATTGCCGAAAAATATCCAGGCACACTTGGCGATCTGTGCTCCAGCAGGGCATGCTTGCGCAACTAGTTCATGGAGTTCCTCTGTAAATGTCCATTCCTGTCCTTCATTTTCCCATGTACTTAGGACATTCTGTAAATGAGATATGTCATCTAGTCCTTGTGCGCGCAAGGCTTCCCCTTGTTCTTTTTCTTTCTCAATTTTAAGTGTAGATTGAAGGCTATTCAAAGTACGCAAATACCGGTATAACGTATCAAAACAAGTGTCTTAAAGAAAGTTCAAGTGTGTCGCGTGGGCGAGTGCGGTGCGGTTTTGGAAGAAAACAACATCCCAACGCGTCGAGAGGGTTTTGGAGCCGGTCTACGTGGCACTCTGGTGGTTCCCATCGCCGGAACGATATCAATGGCTCCAGTATGCAGTGTCAGGACGAATCTCTAGAGTCTAGCGAAAAGTTTTAAATAAAAAATATGTTGGATTCAAACAAATCTCAAATGTAAAAGTATGTAAAAGTGTGATAAATGCACGACATGGCATTTCACAGGAGCAAGGACGCTACTAGTAGCTCTTGGCCTTACTACTAGGAGCAAACAGCTACTAGGGGCTCCTGGCATCGCTACAAGGAGCAAGGACGCTACTAGTAGCTCTTGGCCTTACTACTAGGAGCAAGAAGCTACTAG